CTCTCAATCAGTATGCGTGAAATGTAACTCTCTTTATCTCTATATAATTGTTTTTCTCCAGAAGCTAACAGCGTATTATTTGAAAATACCGCCTAATGTTTTGTTTATTTGGGTAATCAATCATTTCTTCATCAGAGAATAGAATTATCACAGCTGGATTTACAAGGTAATCAATTACTATTCAAAACAGTATTCAGAGAAGATAAATTTGTACTATGTGGGAAGTTTTTACAAGACATTTTTAGAACTTGTTTTTGTAGTGCATTTTTATCATTATAGTCTATTTAAAGCTTTCGCGATTTTTCTCTGTTTTGGCAATTTTTTGCATTGTGCATTTGTTGTGTTAAACAACTTTTTTTTGCAGCAGAAAAAAGCAGATGATAGTATGTTAAAATATAATTTTGTGCACGTGTTCAAAATGAACTGGTTTTCAGGGAAATACTAAAATTAAATGTGCACGTGCCTACAAATTTCAGGGTTTTATTTCGATGATCACAGACGATTTTTTTTAACCAAAGGAATTTAAGACGAGAGGACTGGTACTCTTTAAACTAGTCCACATATGATAAAGAATAACCCTTTTCTCAGATGAACATAATAAACTTCACACAAACTTTTGTATATACATGTTACAGGCCATTCTAACCTATTAAAACGCCCAGTTCAAATCTTCCAGAGGCTTCGTTGAGAGATAAAGATGAAAATCTTTCATGGAAGTATCAGAGAGATCGTTGATTTACAAGCTTTACTGCGTACATGACCTTGAGAAATCACCAGAAGCTTATCACCTGACAATCGTCTGCTAGATTGAAAGATATTGCACACGTTTCCTCTTTGGTCAGCCAATGGCGGGAAAAACGCACGGGGAAGTGTAAACAAGAAACATAATGGCCACTGGGGGCAGGCTCTGATATATTTACGTGTCATGCTGGTTTCAGTTTAATAGATTATACGAACTCTAGAATAATCTGTGTTTTGATGACTGCATGGAGTGCAATTTATCGCTTTGAGGAAGTTTGGTAATACTGTTTGTAAGTCAGGAGATCTTGTAAAATATGATTAATGGGGAATACACATGATGTAGATTATGAAAGACGCGATATTTTAAGAAGAAACCGGATAAAAGTAAAAAAAAAAAACGAAAATTTTTACAGGATTATTACAAAACATTTCTTTAAGAGTTGTTTGCTGTTGTTCTTCAAATTACGTAACGAATACATTCATGTCATTCAATCAGAATGCAAAGATTGAATTGAAATACAATGTAAACAGGTGAATAACACCCTTGACGTCTTCAAGGAATGAATGCAGCTTTACTTTGTTGGAAAACATCCTCACTGAATTTACCATTAAATATAATACAAGTCATGTACATGTAGTTCCCTTTTTACAGTTATACCTGCACATATACAAAAGACACCTGACTTGCATACTTGTTTAAAACATTTTATTCCTACGACCAAAGAAAGGTAAGCGGATATCAGATGACAAAACAAATGATACTACATGTATAACATATAGGGAACAAATAAAAAAAAACAGAAAATGAAAACAATTGAACATGTTTAATTTTTCTGCTTCAAAATCAAAATTTCATGTAATTTCTAAAAAAAATTCTTACAGGTCCTGAACCAAAAGCATGTTATACAGAATTTAAATATACATTTTGTTTTGACTAAATTTCAGTTCTCATATTGAATCCAAGTCAAGAGGTAATGAATTAATCTCTTTGTATAACCTTGTCCCCTACCAGTTGGCCAAACATTTGCAGACATAGAGAGGTGTTAAAAGGGGTATTGAATCTGATACACCCGTCGAAAACCTCCACAGCGTAAAAATCGGTTATATGTATTTATATAGAACCCTTGGATTAAGACAAAGAGAGGTCACCCAAAAAGCAACTGACGACAATCACAAGGAAAGAACAAAGAACAGAAAAGTCAATAGAGTTGCAATAGACTAGTGATGACTTAGTTGATATTAGAGTGGCTAGGAGTGGTAGCATTGTTCATGGTGTGGTACGTTCTGGCGACAGAAGTCTGACATTGTTCACGGAGTGGCACTGGGGAATGCTACTGGTGGGGTAACCACAGAAAACTGGCATGCGTGTATAGTTCATGGAATAAAGGTGGTTTATGGGTGGAGACAAAAGAGTTGTTCTAAAGGATTGCAACAGAAAAAGTTACTTTGAATTATTGTTTATTGATCTAAAGGTAGCGACAGAAGCCTGTTATTGTTAAGCTAGTAATTTTTTGGGTGGAAACAGATCCCTGACATAGTTCATTGGGGTGATTCTGTTAGGATTGCCCAAAGCAGAGAGTAATCTGTAAATTTCCAACAATCAGTTTTAGTGGTTACTTACTGAATCTTTATAAGACAAGTCCCCAGGATCATGAAAGAGACTTTGATTTAAAGTCAAAATTTTAATCATCTGTAAAATTTTAAAAAGAAACTTGTAAAATGAAATTCCTTTTATTTTGCATTTGACAACAGATTGATTTTGTAAGCGTGGAAAGCATTTTCATTTTCAACCGGTAAATAATTTAAGCTCCATAAACAGTTTTTGACTTAAGTTAAAGTTGCTTCGTGATCGAAGGGCCTGGTATTTTATATGTCATATTACTTTCAAAATAGTCATGTAAACATATAAAGCAGACAAATTTGATTAATTTTAATCTTACCTATAATCGATATTTAATGGTCTTACTTAAATTTTCATTCAGGTATTTGATAAAAAAAATTCTTTGCTTCCTGTTAATTTTGTATGCAGAGAAAAGTTTAATCCTGACATAACACCTGAATTGCAGATGACGGTAATTTTAAAATTCTTAATCATTCACAAAAAAAAAAATGAAAAAGCGTTTTCAAGGTTTATTATAATTTATTTAATAATAGACTGATAATGTTTTCACTATAGAGTTACATATGTATTCAATATCATATTTCGTATTTAAGTGAGAAACAATTTCAAATTCTTTACTGCAAGTATGACGGAATTCTTAAAACATTACAACTGTAAAACAAAGGAAAAATATAAATTGAAGAAAAACATGCAAAGAATACAGGTTATGCACAATTTTTGTATAAATGTTCCTAACAGGAACCACATTTTTATGAATGGGTACACAATGGAATGACCAACACGCCAGCAATAATTAGCCAGTCAAAACAACGCCTTAACTCACATGGAAAAACAATTACACTGCTGCGCGCCAAATGTATCTGGGAAGGCCATCAGAATCATTTCGCCATGCTGAACAACGTGTTAATCTCATTTAGACATTTCCGCGTCATTAGAGTGAAATATAATTTATTTCTCATGGACGAATGGTACTCAGTTTACCCCTTTTCTAACATGAAAAACTTGTCTCAACTGGAAACTTTTTATTCGGGTTTATTTATAGCATAAATTCATGTTCTCTAAATTGAGAAACATGAACATTTGATAGACCTCAATTTTCATAAATGCTACATGGCATTCAGCATTAGTTAAAGTCATTATGCTCTCACATTTGAAAATGTCAATTTTAAAAATGAAATGAACAAAATGAAATGTGATATTTCATGTTCCAAAAAATGCAAGTCGCATTTAAGTGTATTCTTATTAGAAGTAGTTCAATTGCGTGTACAAATATCTGTACTAAAATTCATACAAACATCCACTTAAAATGCCTGAAAACTGAATTCAATATGCCGAGACGTGTTTGGCATTTATCTCTTTATAAGACAAAACAGTAATCAAAGGAATATTTGGCAAATACACAAATGTAGAAAGCAAATAATCTGTTCATAACTTGAACAACAAAGAATATGAGTTAAAGGTGCATAAAAAAGTCTTCATATTTGATATTGAGAGGGCCCACACGATCATCGATCACTGAGAACTTAAAAAAAAATACACAAGTTCCTCAATATAATTGTCATATGAAATACGGACATATGCCGCGTATAATTTTCTTATGGAAAAAGTAAAGGTACTCTGATAAAATTGTCAAATGGCAAAAAAAAAAAAAAATCCCGATATCCCGTTAAGTTGTCATATAAAAAAAGTGCAGGTGGCTCGCCAAGTGTAACATTAAAAAAAGGTTCCGCCCCCTTTGAGTTGTCTAGATCTATGAAAAATGTACTGTGTCCCGTGTAAGTTGTCGCATTAAAAAAAAACAAAAAAACAAAGGTGCTTCGTAAAGTTGTCATATGAAAAAAAGTACAAATGTTCCGTAAAGTTGTCACATGAAAAAATGCTGAGGAAAGTACAGGTGCTCAGTAAAGTTGTCATTTGAAAAAAAAACCCTACAGGTGTTCCGTAAAGTTGCCATATGAAAAAACCTACATGTGCCTCAAAAAGTACTAAAACCCTGTAGATTATGAATAGAATACAGGTGTTTCGTAAAAAAAAAAATTCAGAGGAAGCAGCGTAAAGACATATCTACGAGTGATCTAAACAGTTTCAAACAGTTATAAGTTCCAGAAAAGATTATTAAATATCATTGGTCAATGTACTCTCTCTATGCTGTTCACGATTATAGATAAATACATGTTGAAAATTATACATAATAACACAAATATACAGTAACTAGGTTCTAAAGTAATATCGTAATATATTCTACAAGACCGTTCTGTTTAATCATTTAAATAAAGTATTCACGAGGTTTTATTTTCTTTATTGGTATAGATTATTATGCGCTCTGTGTTTTTTTTTATTTGACATTAACCGAAATGAAATTTTATTGGTATCAGGGTTCGTTGTGTTAAAAAAAAACTTTCTTTTTTTGACCAAAGCATTTGTATCTAGGTTACATTTTCGTGATTGAAGGATGTACTGATAATGGTATTTTGGCATCAGTACACCTTGACCTCACCCGATAAGTCCGATAGTACCAAGATTTGCAATAAATCTACATTTGTCCTAGTTTAAAAGAACGTGATAATGACGAACCCATTAACGAAAATAAAATATCACACATGGGAAATATCATAGTCATTATACAGAAATAACAAACCTTAGGCTGCAGGTCTAAATCCAAAGAATTGGTAAAACAAAACGATAATCCAACACAAAGAAACATACAAAGATATCCAAGATTGTTGTCAAGGTCAGCCATAGTTATGCTCCCACATGTAAATTGGAATGTACAAAATTTCCTTTAACTTGTGAACACTTAGAGCAGCCGGTGTCGATAAAGCTTAAGACCTTCACATTTTAAGAGTATATTTAAAAAAAAAGTCTTAAGCAATTTATTCTTTCTTATTTAAGTCTCCTTTTCCGCAATTCGAGCGGGTTATCTGAACGATATATCTAAGATCCATGGTATGCTTGGCTATTTGACGGTGCTGCTTGCGATCGCATCACCGGCAAAATTTTGAAGAGAGGCTGCAAACAACCGGCGCTGACAAATGTCCTGGCTCCCGGCCCTAAAATCACACTTCCACCCAAAATGTTCCACTGATGAATGACAAATGCATCCTTGTTTTCCACCGATTCTGGAGCGGATCCAATCTCTTTTTTATTTACTGATAACCAGAAGGCGTAATGGCGAAGTCCAAGGAGAGAAAAAAAAAACGGAAAAGAAGCTGGAATCTTCAAGAACGAGGAGAGGATTTGACATGGCTACTTAATAGATTCTTGATTAGAAATCTGATATTTTCTTGAGTGTAGATTAGTGATTGAACGTGATGTTTTAACAACAAAATAAAGCTTTATGTATACGAAGCTTATCGCATCGCTGTCAGTTACCAAAATAGAGGCTTCTATTTTCTTACGTAGAATTTGAATTTAAGAAACAAGATCAGATAAAAAAGAAATTAAAATGTCAAAATTGAGAACTAATTAATAGTAGGTATCTTTTTAACCGGATATTAATCATCTAGTTGGTTTCAGATCACGTGGAATCCTTTAATCAAATATAAAAAGGCTTAGTATTGCTTTGCAGAAATTAAGAGATTGAAATACTTATTTTACTCGGAGAGCTTAGTAAAAGGTCGGTAGAGTATTCATCATTTACTTTGTGATGATATTAGGTTTTATAATGTTGAGACTAGTACAGTATTTCATTTTTCATTTTCATCTGTCATTTCAATCATCTACACGTGTCTAGCTCCACCTAAACTCATTAACACTGAAGTAATGTTAAATGTACTTCCTGTCAAAATATTCTATATCATATAATCTTGTATAAGGAATAAATATATTACGAAATTAATTAATACCATTTAATTGTGATAAACAAATTGATAATCTTAATTACAAATACAATACATGCACAATGTGTATGCAAATGCTTAAGTGAGATTTTTCTCTCTTGCGCGTGAGGAATTTGAACAAATAAAAGAATAAAAATAATTCTATTGCTCACCCTTTTCAGAACTTTGAGGAAGAAATTAATGTAGAAAATCTATCATATATTTAAAACCAACTGTATTGCTTTTTGGTTTTGATTATATTGTGTTTTTTTTTAGGATTTTCATCTTGATGGTTTTGCAAGGAACTTACAGAAATGAAAAAAAAGTTTAATCAAAGGATTCGACAATTTTAAAGAATTTTGGCCTGTAACATTAATGTTTTAATTTGATAAATTATTAATTCTATAAACTTGATGTAAAGACACATGTACAGCAGGCCAGTCCACCTTCACATGCTGTACATAAATATATTTTCAGCCCTTTAAAATATTCCTTAACTGCAGATTTTGTAGGTATGTTTGATGACCAAAAAATCAACCCACATATGACATGAGGGATGCAAAAACACTTACCCTTTCGATTTTACTGATGAAAACAATGATGCCTGAATAATTAAGAATCAATTTACTCATCTTGAATTTAATGTCATACTTCAAGTTTTAGGAAGCAGAAAAATGAGCAATCGAGTTAAAAATATTTTGTCGATACTCGGTAGGATCGAATAATAGTTAAGTTCTTGTATTCTATTACATGTAATTGCATTAGTAATTGACATTTTGTTCTGTTATTTTTGGGAATTTGAGTTGCATATGGAGTCTTTAAGTCTTAAACGAGATGCATTATTTCTAGCAATGATTCGAAGAAAATAGAATATTGGCTCATTTCTAGATCCAAAAATAATAAATTGTTTTCTTTTTTTTTTTTAAATGAGCATCGAAGAAACAACTATAGAATACTGTTTGTTGCTTCTTTCACTGGCACGTTTTACTATATTAGCGTTTTGAAAATAACGATTCCTCTCTTAAAATTAGGAGAAAAGGACACATTCTTTGATGTGATTTTTCCTATTTCCTAAAAAATGATAACGATTGAAACATTTTATTTACTTTTTCAAAACGTTTGAATCTTTGCGATTGTATCCCATGTGTGCGTCAACGTCCTACATGTATCGTTTTTCACTTGTTTTTGGATAACATATTCATAAATCTGGGAATTTAGTTTGATGATGAAACTAACACACTTTATTTCAAGCGTTAGTTATATTATTTAACTTTTTTTGCTATTTCATTGTTGATATCAAAACAATTTTTAACAGTTTGCAGTCCTGACGTCAGCAAATTTGTCAGACATTTTTGTTTTCTTCATACATTAATTGGGCAATAAATATCAACAAATCACTTGTCGACAACATTTGAAAATACATAAGAGCCGTGAATTTTGATATATTATTTAGGAGACAGGTGCTGTTCAATTCTAAATTCAACAGAGCTCTGCAGAACTTATATACTAAACAAATAAGTTATAGCTTTGAAGAAAGATATGTATGCCATTAAGTTCATTGGATGATCCAAGGTCTCATTGCATAACTGATACCTGCACGATGATGTATTTTGACCGCTTGTATCTGAGCTGCCCAACATGAATTTGGTTCTTAATTTCCCAGACAATTACAATAAAAACTGCAGATTCAATATGCGTCCCATATAAGATAATTTTTTTTTTTTAAAAATCGAAATTTAATGCCTGTCAGCTGAGCTTGTTTACTTAGATTTACAAGTACGATGTTTTCATGTTAGGACAAAAGCTTCACCATCAGTCATAACTTTTGAAAATTAAAAAGTTAAGACGATTTTCATATTTCAAAGATACATAACATGTATCTGTGACATTGCCTTTTCATACCCTTGACCTAGAAGTTTGATCTACGTTCATGACGATAATTTTTTAATGAGAAAGGATAAAACATTCCTTTTTTCACATGTGGGTTACCTATGTCAAGACCTTTCTGAATGTTAATCTCAATTCTTATCCGTCACTCTATCCCTGGCCTTGAACTACCTTCAACATTATGAAAGTTATGATGTTCAAATTTGCAAAGTGTATGCATTAGATTTACTTCCGACAAGAACTCTTTGAATATTTAATATTTGACGTTGACCTTGAATTTTGATCTAATTTTCAAAGAGAAAAAAAAATTATATCATTTGTGTTCAATTTTGATAGAAGATAACGTCACTCTCGTGACTTTTTCAAACATACGAGGGGTGATCAAAAAGTTCGCAAACTAATTGAATAACTTCCATACAAGAAACAATATTTGGTTTTAATGTTGATTATATTTTAAATTAATCCTCCCCGATTTTAATGCACATCAGCCACCGTTCTGCGCATGCGCGAATCACGTGATATTGGCGGTCACGTGACCCCCTCCATAGCGTTCTGACACAAAAGTTAAAAGATTTTTCCGAGTTTTATATTTCTTTCCATGTGAGTTAATTTTTATGACAAAAACAGTTAATTTGTCAGAAATGGTCATATCTCGGCAACAGAATGGGTGGATGATAGCATCCTTTCCAAAAATAAGCATGGCGACCATTAAAACACAAATCTTCTGTCTCGGGAGAGACCTTTATTCAAGGTGGATAGAGAATGGGTGCATCCTTTTTATCATATCTAATATGTTTAAAATCTAAAGTAAACTACATCTTAGGTATTTAATACTTATATCATTGTTCAAATATTCAACTATTTTTCAAAGTGCTAATTGGAGGTCTTTGATAGCAAATTGCTTAATTAAAAATACATATCTTTTCAAACTTGCTTTCACTGGGCAAGATGACAAGTATCATTTTTAACCATCAGCCTTATTTCACTAAAACGATTAATCCAATCATTAATTGAATTTATAGGAACTCATTTATCTCAATAAACTGTGTACAAATTATTATATGATACTGTAGAGGGATTTCTAAGATATTACAATAAATTGTACAGTAGTTTGTTAAACGAGTTCGACTGAGACAACCATTTTTCGTCGCAAGTGACCTAAATAGTGACGTCATTTTCACGTTGTGACGTCACAAGCAAGGAGAGAAACTTTATTCAGCATATGCTATTCATAGACCTTGTGTATGGCTATGTGTGTACCGAATTTCATTCTAATTTGAATTGTGGTTTTGTAGATATAGAGATAGTTTGCGAACTTTTTGATCACCCCTCGTATGGAGATCCCAACACTTGTCAGTGGAGGGTTGCAAATTCAAACCTATACTCAGGACTCAGATCTATCGAGCAGATCTTCGTAAGCCAAGAGGTCCTTCGGATGAGATCTTAAAATTCGAGGTCCCGTGTCCAGGGTTTGTTGCCACGATTACGAACCCTCGCTGCTCAATGGCCCTAATTGCCGAGTAAAGAATAAAATTTGAAGACCTTACCGGTATATAGTGACGTCTCTGTATGAGTGAAAAATCTCGAATAGGACGTTAAACAACATGAATTCAATCGTAACACAAGGGTTTTCAGTCTGCTTATAGCGAAGCGGAGCTAAAACCCTTGAATTGCGGAGAAGAAATTTGCCAAGGATGAGAGCTTTCAGTATCCCAACTTGTGACTGTCTAAAATGCCCTTTCTAGTATGAAGAGATCTCTACGGGGGAAAGTAAGTACTTGTACCAAAAACACCTCTCAAACTTTCGTTCATAGAATTTCATTAAACTTGCTATCGTAGAAAAATAATAATATGAATGCATCTACTTATAATTTCAATAGTGGTCGTATTTCAGTATTGATTGCAACCTATGTTCATTATTGAAATGCACTCTCAACCACTATTGAAATAATAATTTCAATAGTGGTTGTATTTCAGTAGTGATTGCAACCTATGTTTGTTATTGAAATGCACTCTCAACCACTATTGAAATAATTATTTCAATAGTGGTCGTATTTCAATAGTGATTGCAACCTATGTTTGTTATTGAACATCGTCGGAAACCCACGGGTGATCTCGTCTTTACTTATCACCCGTGGGCAAACTCTCTGAAAAATCGTTGTACGTAATTAAATATGCATAGGTCATTTGATTGGCCGCATCACAGACTCGCGATTCGAAACAACGAATCACAGTTCACGTTACGTATGCATGTTCGGCATTGCCAAAAACATGAAAAAACTCATTCCGTAGTTAACGCAGCTGATAAATCCACTCATCAGTGCATTTTGCAGTTAAAAAGAGGTACTCCTTCATAATATCTGGCGGATATTAATGTCAGTGACCTGTACGAATTGACTTTCATTGTTTTAAATCAA